ATGCTAAAAAAATGCACACTGAATTAGTTTACTCTTTTGATTATACTCACGACGAGACAAACGTACATATATATATATTTATATTTACATTCATATACACGTGAAAACTCAGTCTTACTGCAGAGTCGGGACGAGAGGTACATGCTGCGACCATGTAATCTTTTTTATGTTGTTGACCCTGAAAATCTTTAGTATTTTAATGTCTTTTTTTATATTTATCAGGAATACGAGTCGTATAAAAGACTGCTCCAAAAATCGCATTGAAGATCCCCACCCCCCCAAAAAAAAAAAACGTTCTATGTACAACAGACCTCAAAATCTGAATTCGAAATGTGAAATAGCAAAATCTACTGAGTTTCCTGACGGCGTCTATGGTAACAACAACTATATAGTCAAGTTACATAACGTTATGGCTTTCATTAATTCATCTTACAAACTATAGTTCCTGCTCTACCGTCTATAATATGACTAAAAAAATTGCTATGGCCAAAACTGAGTTAGGAGTGTTTGTATTAAAGTAAATCTTATACTCATTATTTCACATATTTGGCTATAAAAATGGTTTGAAAAATAATACTAGGTATGAGGGGTCTCGGCATTTCAGCGAAGCCTTGGCAGTCCAGAAGTAATCAGAACACAGTACAGTCAACTTCATATTGTAACATGCAACACCGGCATCGATGACTATCTTTATAACACCTTTTTAAATTTTTTTCTTTTTTCTTTAAATATCCTTTAATGAAATAAAATCCCAATCGATATTGTCTGTGACCTTGTCACCTTGTCAATTTTAAAGTTCGAATCACTTTTGCCGATTTCTGATTACTTGCAAATGTGCTTTCCTGGAATGACACTCAATTTAAACTAATGATCTTGTTCTAGTATTATGACTAGTTTACATTTGTTATTTTGGTATGACCTGCCTTTGTTACACTCCAAAGAAAAAAAAACTATTCTACTTCATATATAAAGTTCTGTCTCGCAGACATACACATGTACGCGTGGAAACAAGACCACCAGGAACGCACACACACACACACACACGTACACATCCGCTCACAAGGCAATTATCTGTATTGTCTTTTCTGTGAGTTTCCCGTCAGCGGGACACAGTCTTTGGATTCAAGTGGTAACGGAACTTAAGAATTTTTCAGAACTGGAAGGACTTGAAGGACACGGAGGACTATTAGAACTTTTAGAACTTGGAGAAGTTTTAGAACTTGAACTTTTTTCAGATGTTGAAGAACATGAACTTTCTAAGAATGCTGAGGACTCCGAGAACTCAAGCTTGCGACGACCTCGGGTCCTCCCATTCGCCCAGCATGTACACGGAAGCGGTTCGCCGGAGCGTCGCTGCGTCTACGGCGGGCGAACCCATCTGCATTTCGCTGTTGGCTCTGATTAATGCCGAGAAGGGGCTTGCCTCCTTCCCCTCGTCGGCCATGATGATCGGGGAAGCCCTGGTCGCCACTCTCTGGCCGGCCAGCACCACGCACCCGCTCTCCGTCGCCGCCGTCACCGTCGTCACCCGCCTCCTGGAAGTCTGCACGACGGCTGTGCGACTGAAGGCCGTCGGGGCGTGCAAGGCGCCGCCGTTCCGCTCGTCGAAGGCCAAGTCGTTGTCCATGGGGTCGCTGCGGCCGTCGGGGGGCGGCCTGACGAAGTGCCACGAGGAGTCGTCCCCTTCCTTGCCCTCGCCCAGGAGCATGAGGGAGCCCAGGGACCGCCTCGGGATCATGGCCGGGGGCACGCCGGCATTCAGGAGCGTCTGCAGCTGCTGGTTCGGCGACAGGAGGGCGGGGATCTGGGAGCCGGCGAAGGGCGGCGGCGCGACGGGGGGCGGGCCCTTGGCCGCGCCTCCGTGGCTCTCCGTCCGGAGCATGACGAGGGAGTGCGGCCTCTGCGCGTGGCCGTTCATGGTGCTGTGCTGGTAGTAGCTCTCGTCCAGCAGGGCCTGACTAAAAAATGCCTCACTCTCGTACAGCTGGGGAGACAGGTTCGCCTGCGAGCAGCCCGTCGGCATCGTCTGCAGCGCCGTCTTGGAGGAGGCCGAGGACTCCACCGTGCCGTGCTCCGCCCTCGGCGACCCGTGGGGCTCGAGGCCGCCGCTGTTCAGGCGGCTGACGATGCGCGACAGGAGCGTGCCCATGCCGGAGTTCCTGGAGGACGAGTCCGTGGTGCCGGAGGCGCACCTGTACACGCTGCCGTTCTTGCTGGCGCCCCTGGCGTGCCTCGTGGAGCCGTTGCGCACGGCCGACGAGGACTTCTTGACCGAGTTGAGCGGCGAGGCGCGCGTGGACACGGTGCGCGCCGACGAGTGGTGGTTGCGCGGCGGCGTCGAGGTGGTGGAGTGCGTGTGCGCCGAGGAGTGCGTGGAGTGCGTGTGCGTGGTCGGAGGGCGCCTGCGCAGCGTGCCCGTGGTCAGCAGGGCTATCCAGGCAGCGCGCGCCTCGGGGTGCTGGGCCACGCGCACCACGAAGATGATCAGGCCCTGCAGCGGTGTGGTGATGCAGAAGATGTACTGCAGCGTGAGGCGCGCCCACCCGATGCTGACGGCGCCCGCGACCCACGTCACGCCCAGCAGCGCCACCACCGTCACGGCGCCACGCACCTGGGCGGAACAAAGGCATGTATAAGACATCAAACAGATAATCAAACTAATGCCTTTCCTAAGAAGGGCAAAAAGAACTACAAACATAGGATGTTATTTATATAATGATGCTACAATTTGTCCCATCTATCCACCGCGTACGCTAAACTAATAAAAACTAGAGAAAAATAAAACAATTTACGAACAGTCACACTCAACTGCCACCGCATCACCCCTTTATAACCGCCCACTCCAGACCCCAATACGCCTGAAAACCTTGTCTAAACCTCCATTACCTGCGCCAGGGTCACGGGGCCTTCCTTTTTAGGGGTGACTGAAGAAGAGTGAGGCTTGTGGGACCGAGGGCGCCTCTGGCAAAGCACGCGGGTCACCATCACAAACACGACGCAGTTGACGGCAAGCACACAGCAGATGGGTCCTGCGAAAAGTGGAATCGAGGGATTATATATTAAATTATTGAAAAAACAAAACAAAACAGAATAACTAAGAATACGTTTTAGGGGAAGGTATTTAGGCACTTAATGAGGACTATTAACAAACGTGTGGTAATCACTAAAGAACGAAAGAACTAAGGATGTATATATTAAAGTACTTAATGCCTTTAAAATAACTGAGACCTAGAAATACAGTGCCGATGTTGACAAACTAAAAAGTAACAGGACAAGATGCTTAGGGAAAAGTTATCCTTGTTTATCAAAAAGCCTATATTAATAGTGGTTATAACAAATACAGACTCTGAAACAACATAAGACTAAAACTACATAAAAAATAACTTCATACTCAGGAAAAAAAATCTGATCAAAGCGGGGACATTGATATAAGGTGGTTACAATAGTCACAGATGAAAAAATATAGTCAAAATGAATCTTTCTTCTGTCACATACGAGCAAGATAAGAAACCCTCTCCTGGGGCACAAAAATATCCCCGGCACATCCAAAATATATCCTTAAAAAAACGATCTCTCATAAAAAGACGTACCATTTTTTTCCTTTCTATTTCCAAAAATAAAAAAAATTATCCTTAAAAAACGATATCTCATAAAAAAGCGAACTTATTTTCTTTCTAATTCCATAAAAAAATATCCTTAAAAAACTTATTTTCTTTCTAATTCCATAAAAAAAGATATCCTAAAAAAAAAAAACTTATCTTCTTTCTAATTCCATAAATAAAAAAAATAGACAACGAAAATACCCAATGCCTCACCCATATACGCAGCATAATACACAATAATATTATGCCTCGGGTTGATGACACAAATATCCCTCACTTCGTCTTGGTAAACTCTGTAGTCAACCGCCAATGCAGTCACGACCACCAGCAAGGGAATTCCTGAGGATAGAGGTTCTTGTGTGGATATTTTAAAGTAGATAATGACAATTGATGTTATTGATGCTTTTTATATGATGTTTTATGTTTTTTTCTGATGTTTTGGTTTTCTGACAAATGGTGTTGATATATTTTAATCATCTTTTAAGTAGTTTCTTGTTTCACTGAAAAATAAGATAAAGATAATAACAAATTATGTTATTGATGCTTTTTCTGATGTTTTATTAAAGAGAAGAGTGCATGTGTGCATATATTTTTTAAAGATAATAAAAAATGGATTTGTTGTGGATTTCTTTATGGAGGAAGATATACTCAAGATCAGTTAATAAGTACGAAATTGGATATAAACACGAGCAGGCAGGAATACACACGCACACACGCACACACACACACACACACACACACACACACACACACACACACACACACACACACACAAAACCTCCCTCCCACAAACAACCCCCCCAATCAAACATACAACCCCCTTTCCCCCACCCCTCTCCCCACCCACCCACCCAGACCAAAAAAACGAAGCAAACAAACACGTTAAACTGACCCCAGGCTCCGACCACTCTCTTGGCCATGAAGTGCGTCTCGGCCGAAGCGAAGACGGTGATGAGCAGCTGGTACATGTTGGCAGCCTCGACTAACATCCAGGCGAAGGCAGCGAGGACCAGGTAGTGGAGCTGTGGGGGGGGCGAGAGAGAGGGAGAGGGGAGGGGGTTAGAGATGGTGGTGTACGGGGACGAGAGAGAGAGAGAGAGAGAGAGAGAGAAGGAAAGAGAGAGAGAGAAGGAAAGAGAGAGAGAGAATGAAAGAGAGAGAGAATGAAAGAGAGAGAGAGAATGAAAGAGAGAGAGTTTTAAGACGCCGATGATGGTGTTGAGATAGTGTGGTTATGGAGGGAAAGGAGAGATAGATATTGTGTAATATGGTGAGAATAAATAAAATGATGATGGCGTGACATATTGAAGAAATGGAGGATCATAGATGGTAGAGTGTAGAATAAAAAAAATGGACCACAACTCTGCAATTACTTTGATTAAAAAATTAACACTAAATAAAGTAAACGTTGCACGAAATAAATACTTGGACGATAAAAAGTATAAAAGATAAACTGGGAATCCACAAAATTTAAGTAAAGACAACAAATCTCTTAAAGCGAACAAGAAAAAAACATGATAAAGAAAAACAAATTAAATCCCCCAACTAAATAAAAAAAACGTAAACACAAAACTAACTACCTAAATAAATAAAATAAAAAAGAAAAAATAGTAATGAACAAACAAAAGGGAAAGAATAGTCACCGCGGCTCCCAGGGCAGTGCAGGCAATGGACGTCGGCTTCACTTGCGTCGTGATGAAGAACACGCAGTTGAGAAGCAGCAGCGCCAAGGAGAGGTTCATCACGATCTTGCCGCTCCTATCACGGTTCAAAGTCCTGGGTGATATAAGACAGGGGGAAAGAGATTAGAAACCAATAATAACAACGACGAAAATATTCTAAAAGTAAGCATAGACATTTTCAAAAATATCGAAAAAGGTTTAGTTTTTTATCACCTTAAAAAAAAACTTATGTCTTAATTATGAAAGTAATTATAAAGTTTGGGGAAATTATAAAAAAAAACGATAAAATAATGAATCCGTGATGTTCAGAACAAAAATAGATTGTTCTTCATGAGCGGAAACACCAAAACTGAAACACTTTTTTTGGTGTTCCCGACTGAAAAGGAAACGAACTCGACTCGAAACGTTATGTGTTTAGTATTCCTCATCTAACTGTGTCTTAGTTTCCTTCCGTAATTTTATGTATTTTTATCTTTCTCGACCTTCCCCCTTCCCCCCTATCTCTTCCTCTTCCCTTTTCCCTCTCTATCTCTTCTCCTTCCCCCCCCCACTTCTCCCTCACTTCCTTTATCTCTCCATCCCTCATCTTCCACCCTCTTTACTCTACCTCTTCTTCCCTCTCCCATCCCCCTCTTCCCTTCCCCTACATCCCCCCCTCCCCTTTTATCCCTAACACTCCCCTACCCTTCCCATACCCTTCCTCTCTCCCCTCCTTTCGCTCTCCCCTCTCCCACCCCCCCTTTCCCTTCCCCTACATGTCCTCCTCCCCTGTCCTACCCTCCCATCTCATCCCTCCCCTCCCCCTCCTTTCCCCCTCTTCCCTTCTCCCTCCCCCCTCCCCTGTCCTACCCTCCCATCTCATCCCTCCCCTACCCTAACCCTCCCCTCCCCTTCCCCCCCCTCCTAACCCTACCCTCCCATCTCATCCCCCCCCCCTCCAATCTCACCTGAAGATGGCATACGTGGCCACCGTGGCCGCCAGCCCCGCCGTGCTGAGCGCCAACCCGACGTAGGTGATGATGGACAGGATCCTCTCGTGAATACCCAGAGCGGAGGGCATCGGGTCGAGCAGCACCGAGAAGGCCGTCAGGTGGGAGGCGTGGCAGGTCGTGACTCCGCCCACCGTCTGGGTCTCCATGCCGGCGCTCGACCAATCTTGGGCTAAGGGTTTGGGGGGGGGAAGAGGGGGGAGGGTTAGAGGGGGTGGGCGATGAAAATGATGATGATAATGGTAATGAGGGGGTGGGGGAGGAGGGGGAAGGGGAGTAGTAGTAGATGTAGTAAGAGGAGAGGAGAGGAGAGAAGAGAAAAGAGGAGAGTAGAAAAGAGAAACGGAGAGAAGAGAGGAGAAAAGAAGAGGAGAAGGAGAGGGGGAGGAGAGAGGAGAAGAACCGAGAGAAGGGGAGGAGGAGGAGGAGGTGCAGGAGGAGGAGGAGGAGGAGGTGCAGGAGGAGGAGGAGGAGGAGGTGCAGGAGGAGGAGGAGGTGCAGGAGGAGGAGGAGGAGGAGGAGGAGGAGGAGGAGGAGGAGGAGGAGGTGCAGGAGGAGGAGGAGAGGAGGAGGAGGAGAGGAGGAGGAGGAGAGGAGGAGGAGGAGAGGAGGAGGAGGAGAGGAGGAGGAGGAGAGGAGGAGGAGGAGGAGGAGGAGGAGGAGCAGGAGGAGGAGCAGGAGGAGGAGCAGGAGGAGGAGCAGGAGGAGGAGCAGGAGGAGGAGGAGGAGGAGGAGGAGGAGGAGGAGGTGGTGGTGGTGGTGGTGCAGGAGGAGGAGGAGAGGAGGAGGAGGAGAGGAGGAGGAGAGGAGGAGGAGGAGAGGAGGAGGAGGAGGAGGAGAGGAGGAGGAGGAGAGGAGAGGAGGAGGAGGAGGAGGGCCAGGAGGAGGAGCAGGAGGAGGAGCAGGAGGAGGAGCAGGAGGAGGAGGAGGAGAAGGTTTGTTAATGGTTGAAAATTGATGTGGCGGTGGATGTAATGATGATGATGGCGGTAACATTAGCCTTTCAGGGCAAAGATAACAAGAACAACTTTACAAACAAAAGATCATACATAACTTGAAATTTTGTCGGAGAAGAAAGAAAAAGAAGAAGACGAAGAGGAAGAAGAAGAAATAAAATATAAAAATAAATGGAGAAAGAAAGAAAAAGAAGAAAAGAAGTAAAAATACAGGATAAAAAAGAAAGAAAAAAAATCAAAAGAAAAGAGAGAGAGAGAGAGAAATATATATATCTAAAAAAAAAAAAAAGAAGAAAAAGAAGAAATATTCTAGAAAAAAGGCAAAAAAAAAAACACCCACCTGCATCATCCCAGAAAACACAAGATGGCCGAAACAGGGATTCGTTTACGTTCGTGTTGGCTTCGGCGATCGTGTACGTCACCGGCTCGGACAGGTTCTTCACGGTCGTGTTCGTGATTCGTGCGGTGATCACGGGCATTCCCAACGGACGGCTGCCACGGAAGAATTTGTCGTTCCCGAAGGACACGAATTCCAGCCTCACGCTCTCGCCAGTCGCCATCGAGAGGACGGCCGGAGGGAGCTTGAGGTACGATTCCTTTTTGGCGGGAAAATGGGGAGAGAGAGAGGGGGGGGGGGGTGAATTTTGTGGGTATAGAAAAAGATCGCGATTTTTGTGGGAAAGAAAACCCGCGATTTTTTTGGAAAAGACAAACATCACGAGTTATCTATTTTTTTTTTTTTTGGAAAAGAAAAAATTGCGATTTTTGTGGGAAAGAAATAGATCTAGATTTTTTTTTGAAACGATATAGATTGCGATTTTTTTTTGAAACGAAAAAGATCGCGATTTTTTTTAAAGAAAAAGATCACGATTTTTTTTAAGAAACAGATCGGGATTTCTTTTTTAAAGAAAAATATTGCGATTTTTTTAAAGAAAAAGATCGCGATTTTTTTTTAAAGAAAAAGATCGCGATTTCTTTTTTAAAGAAAAATATCGCGATTTCTTTTTTAAAGAAAAATATCGCGATTTTTTTTTTTGTGGGAAGAAAAAGATCGCGATTTTTGTGGGAAAGAAAACCCGCGATTTTTTTGGAAAAGACAAACATCACGAGTTATCTATCTTTTTTTTTGGGGGGGGGAGGAAGAAAAAAATCGCCTTTTTTTTGGAAAAGAAAAAATTGCGATTTTTGTGGGAAAGAAATAGATCTAGATTTTTTTTTGGAAACGATATAGATTGCGATTTTTTTTAAACGAAAAAGATCGCGATTTTTTTTTAAAGAAAAAGATCGCGATTTTTTTTTAAGAAAAAGATCGCGATTTTTTTTAAGAAACAGATCGGGATTTCTTTTTTAAAGAAAAATATTGCGATTTTTTTTAAAGAAAAAGATCGCGATTTTTTTTTAAGAAAAAGATCGCGATTTCTTTTTTTTAAAGAAAAAGATCGCGATTTCTTTTTTAAAGAAAAATATCGCGATTTTTTTTTGGGGGGGGAAGAAAAAGATCGCGATATTTTTGGGAAAAGAAAAATATGGCTATTTTTTTTTAACGAAAAAGATCGCGATTTTTTGGAAAAAGAAAAAATAACGATTTTTTAAACGAAAAAGATCGCGATTTTTTTTTAACCCAATGCCGGGGAAAATGAATAAAAAATGGGGAAAATGCTGTGCTCATTTTTTGTATTTTTATACGGGAAAAACGTATTTTTTACTAGAGCTATGAATATGGTGTTATTATAATTGCCTCATTGGTGACTTAGTACAAGTGTAGCCATCTATGTGTAAAAAACAATTAAACAAGTAAACTCACAGTGGGCATGGCATGGGCGTACGTGACATGCCCGACGTGGTTAAAACAAATACTGACATGATAAAACACAACCACACCTTTGCCTGACTTGTCTCAGATGCGTTGACTTCTCGTTTTCTCCTCGAAGCTGAAGTGTCCTGAAGTTGCGGCTGAAACAAAACCGCATCGCTGGCGCCCGACCTCAACATCCGGGCCTCCACCACCAAGTTGTTCGACCTGAGAGTTCATAAAGATGATATTTAAAGAACTTGTTGTGTTTTTAGTATTGTTTTTTTGGGGTATTAAGGCATTTTTTGATGGATGAAGGCTGTTCTTTATATATATATATATATATATATATATATATATATATATATATATATATATATATATATATATATATATATATATTTTTTTTTTTTTTTTTTTTTTTTTTTTTTTTTTTTTTTTTTTTTTTGATTCTCATGTCTTGCGTCTTTCTGATATTCTTATTCTGGATAAAAAATGAAATGAAGAGAAAAAGGTTCCAAACAAGAGAGAGAGAGAGAGAGAGAGAGAGAGAGAGAGAGAGAGAGAGAGAGAGAGAGAGAGAGAGAGAGAGAGAGAGAGAGAGAGAGAGAGAGAGAGAGAGAGAGAAAGAGAGAGAGAGAGAAAGAAAGAGAGAGAGAGAAAGAAAAAATAGAGAGAGAAAGAAACAGAGAGAGAACGAAACAGAGAGAGAAAGAAACAGAGGGAGAAAGAAAGAGAAAGAAAGAGAGAGAAACATAGAGAGAAAGAAACAGAGAGAGAGAGAAAGTAAGAGAGAGAAACATAGAGAGAAAGAAACAGAGAGAAGAGAGAGAGACAGAAGAAAACTCCTGACCTGAACTCCACTTTCTCCCCGAGCTCCAGAGGGACGCTCTCGGTGAAGCTGTTGATGGTGTTGACCAGCTGTTGCGTGATGTTGCTCGTCTTGTCCCCTTCGGCCACCACAGAGTCGTTCACCTCCATCATGTTGCTGATTGCAGACACCATGTTCTTGGCCACCTGCAGGAGGGGAAGGAGGAGGTGGAGGTAGAGGAGGAGGAGGTGGAGGTAGAGGAGGAGGAGGTGGAGGTAGAGGAGGAGGAGGTGGAGGTAGAGGAGGGGAAGGAGGGGAAGCAGGGGAAGGAGGGGAAGGAGGGGAAGGAGGAGGAGGAGGAGGAGGAGGAGGAGGAGGAGGAGGAGGAGGAGGAGGAGGAGGAGGAGGAGGAGGAGGAGGAGGAGGAGGAGGGGGTGAAGGAGGAGGAGGGGAAGGAGGAGGAGGAGCAGGAGCAGGAGGAGGAGGAGGAGGAGGGTGAGGGGGGAAGGAATAGAGAAAGAGGGGAAACGGGAAAGGGTAAGAGAAGGGAGAAGGAACAGGGGAGAGCGGAGGAGGTAGGGGAGAAAAAGGGAGAAGGGGAGGGAGTTACTCAGTAAAATATATGCACCGTTCTTTAACAAAAACAACACTATCAAAACAAAATTTCACCTACAAAAGACAACAGAACAAAGAGGGAAGGCCACTCACCGCCCTGTCGTGGAGCGCGTGTTCGACCAGCTTGGCGAGCTCCTTGGCCGCCCTCGTGAACAAGGCGGGGCTGACGGTGGCGGGCGAGGCCGTGAGCGTCGCGATGGACATGGCCGCGTTCTCCGCCGCCTGCGCCTCCTTCCCGCGGCACATCTCCGTGTCTGGTTCCTGCCACGCGACGGTGCCGTTGGGGAGCAGCACGCAGGCCCGAACGGCGCCCACTTTGACGTGGCTTTTGGCCGAGCCAACGGTCGGCGGCGTCGTGGGCGTCGTCGGGTCGTGTGTGTCGGCTTTCTGGATCTTCATAATTTCCGAACCGAACACGGGGATGGCTCTCGGGGATCCGACGCTGGCGCTGGAGGCCCGGGATTGCCTTTGTTCGAGGGCAGCGGTTCTTTCTGGCGAACTGGCCCCTGGAGGAGGTCCGTCCTTCGACCTGACGGCCTGCGGTTCCACATCTAACTCTGCGCCGGGTTCTGAACCGCCGTGGAGCTTTTCGCCGAGACTCTGACGGCGGGGGAACCTCTCCTGCGACTGGCCAGAGAGGGTCTCGCCAATTCGGGGCAGTTCGCGCGCTCCTCCGGCGAGTCTCTGGCGCTGCGACGGCCTCTCGCCCAGGCTCGGAGGCTCGGAGGCGCTCTCGCCGATCCTCGGAGGCTCGGGCTGGCTCTCGCCGATTCGAGGGGGCTCGGATTGGCTCTCCCCAATCCTTGGATGCTCTGCTCTGCTCTCCCCAATCCTCGGATGTTCGGATAGGCTCTCCCCAATCCTGGGGCGATCAGACGCACTTTCCCCAATCCTTGGATAATCCTCAATGACCTCGGTACCTCCTCTCGACTGCTCAGCCATCCTCGCGCCAATCCTCGGCTGTTCGGCGAACGCGTCTCCGATCCTGGCCGGATCAGGAGCCTCTCCGATCCTTGGCAGGTCGCCGGGGGGGCTGACGAACTGGCGCCCTCTCCTCGGGGGGCTGCCGCCGGCCCCCTCTCCGATACGGGGCTGCGCTACCGGCGCCTGCTTCTGCGCCCGGAAGCCCCTCATACGCGGCCTCCCCCTGAGCGGCTGGAATCCCTGGGGTCCTGGCCTGGCGTCGTCCGGGGCGCCCTCCTCCTGCGTCGGCTGCCTCTTCCGGTGCAGCCTCCGGCCCGCGCGCCTCGTGACGGCGCCTCGCAGGTGGGACGTGACGAGACGTCGTCTCGATCCGGGGTTGTCCTTGGGGGAAATGCGTGAGATGAACACAGGCTCCTTTAGCACAAGACAGATCATATGAACAAGAAGCTTTCTCTCAGAACTCAAGAGTAAGACCAAAGGAAGAACACGAACGCACCTTGTGAAAGGCGGGGCCGCGCGAGAAGTCGAAGTTGCCCGCGTGCGCCGCCACGTCGCGCGTCCGCCTGCTGATGCGGAAGCGGCCGCCCTGCCACTCCGCCTGCGTCGTGAACTCGTCCGAGTGCGGCTGCAGCGTCGGACTCGAGTCGAGGTCCTCCTCGTACTCAAGGGACATATCCCCCAAGGACATGAGAGCCGAGGACTCGTGCGACGCCCCCGAGGACGCGTCCGCAGGGGGCGGCTCGGCGGTGGTGGCGGGCCTCGCTGCCGGCGGGGGCGCGGCGATGGTCGCTCTGAGGCCGTACGTGCACGAGAGGGCGGCCGCCTGTCCGTGGCGGGTCGCGGGCCAGTGGAACTCGCCCGTGTCCAGGACCGTGGTGTGGGCGGGGCACGACTCTGGGCGGGGAAAGGGGACGTACAGAGGGTGGGGCATGAGGGAGAGAGAGAGAGGGGAGGGGGAGCTGCGTCGAGCGATGCAAAGATGGGAAAAACAGAGAGAAAAGAGAGAAAGAGAGAGAAAGGGGAACGTGGAAGCAGCAGACACGGCAAAATAAGCTTTGTGGTTATTCATGCACGCAACTGCAAAGACTGTCAACCAAATTATTTATTATGGAAGCTCCCGAAATGCATGCAGGCTTACTCAAGAATATCAGTTGTATCGTTTATTGAGAGAGAGAGAGAGAGAGAGAGAGAGAGAGAGAGAGAGAGAGAGAGAGAGAGAGAGAGAGAGAGAGAGAGAGAGAGAGAGAGAGAGAGAGAGAGAGAGAGAGAAAGCGCAGACATTCAAAGATGCTAGCTAGCCTATCAACATTCACTACTATCGAAAAATCAACAACTAACATAACAACTCACAAATACTAACAAGTACAGTAATACATATAAATTCTACTGTCATGTTAAACACGTATCTACATCTAGACTATATTATCTAAACGCTTCAATCTGATGTTAAAGTATGTGAATAAAATATAAATGCACTAGACACATGCAATTCTAAGACAAAATTCCCACAATAAATTTTCAACGCATGTTATTTTCCTCTACTTCTAACCAACGAATCAAACATCTAAATCTATGGAGAATTAGTGATAAAAATAACAACACACATTATTTTACTTTTACTTTATTTTCGGTTATAGAAAATGGGCGAGAAGTAGGTCTGACTAAAAAAAAAGGTAAAAATATTCTAATGAACTACAAATGCATACTTTATTGCAAATTATTGGAACTCGTTAACAAACTTTCTAATTCTAAAAACAACTGTTCTGGGTAAACGTTTTCAGTGTTGAAAAATTATAGAAATCAAATCAAATATAGATAAAAATCTTTCCTAATTGCCAACTCGAAAAGAGAGAAAAGCAAGAAAAAACAACAAACAAATACAAGAGAAATGAAAGAGAAATCACAAAAAACAACAACTTAGGAATGCCTTAAGAAAAGCAGCAAAAAACACTTTTAAAAATCACTTTATCAAAACTATTTTAAAAAGAGACACCTTAAGAGAGAGAGAGAGAGAGAGAGAGAGAGAGAGAAGAGAGAGAGAGAGAGAGAGAGAGAGAGAGAGAGAGAGAGAGAGAGAGAGAGAGAGAGAGAGAGAGAGAGAGAGAGAGAGAGAGAGAGAGAGAGAGAGAGTGAAATAGAGAGAGTGAAATAGAGAGAGAAATATATATATATATATATATATATATATATATATATATATATATATATATATATATATATATATATATATATACATACAGAGAGAGAGAGAGAGAGAGAGAGAGAGAGAGAGAGAGAGAGAGAGAGAGAGAGAGAGAGAGAGAGAGAGAGAGAGAGAGAGAGAGCGAGCAAGCAACCAAGAACCATCACCTCAGAGAAAAAAAAGAAAAAAGAAAGAAAGAAAGAAAAAAATAATCATCATCTCAAAGAAGAGAGAACAAAAAAATAAATAAATAAAAGAAAGGAAAAATATCACCTCGAAGAAGAACAAGCATTAAAAAAAAAAAAAAAAAAAAAAAAAAAAAAAAAAAAAAAAAAAAAAAAAAAAAAATCGGCATTCTCTCAACCACGCCCCAAAAACTCACCTGGGACTTCGCAAGCTCCGCCCACATACCCCGGGGCACAGGTACACACGAAGGCATCCACACCATCAATGCAGGTGCCACCATTGAGGCACGGAGAGGAGGCACACTCGTCTGGAAGGGTGGCTCGTCAGGTGGCGGTTGTTAGCGGGAGGTGGAAGAGGTGGAAGAGGTGGAAGAAGAGGTGGAGGAAAAGGGGGAAGTGATGGAAGGGTGGAGGAAGAGGTAGAGGGGTGGAAGGGTGGAGGAGGGGGTGGAGGGGTGGTGGAGGAAGAGGTGGAGGGAGAGGTGGAAGAGGTAGAGGGGTGGAGGAAGAGGGGGTGGAGAGGGTGGAGGAAGAGGGGTGGAGAGGGTGGAGGAAGAGGGGGTGGAGGTGGAGGAAGAGGGTGGAGGCAGAGGGTGGAGGAAAAGGAGGGGGTGGAGGTGGAGGAAGAGGATGAAGAGAGGATGGAGGAAGAGGTGGAGGAAGAGTGGAAGAGGTGGAAGAGGTGAGGGAGGGGTGGAAGAGGGGGGAGGAAGAGGGGGTGGAGGGGTGGAGGGGGAGGTGGAGGTGGTGAAGGAAGAGGTGGATGAAGAGGTGGTGGAGGGGTGGAGGAAGAGATGGAAGAGGTGAAGGTGGAGGTGGCGGAGAAGTGGGGGGGAGGGTGGAGGAGGTGGAAGAAGAGGTGGAGGTGGTGCAGGAGATGGAAGTGGAAAAGAGGAAAGAAGGAGGAGACACAGAGATGGAGGAGGTGGAGGTGGAGAAGAAGGAAGGGAGAGGGAGGTGGAGGGGATGGGGAGAGAAGAAAAGGGGGGGGAGGGGGAGGGAGGGAGGATGGAGGACGAAAGGAAGGAAAAGTGGAACCTCTCGGAACAAGGAAAGCGGTTAATCCGAATAGTTATTTGCTTCTAAAACCATAATTAATGCGGACCATCGTATCGTCTCTTAGGGTCATTTTAGTATGAAAAGCTTTGTGGACTCATCTTAAAGTACGAAATGAAGAGAGAGAGAGAGAGAGAGAGAGAGAGAGAGAGAGAGAGAGAGAGAGAGAGAGAGAGAGAGAGAGAGAGAGAGAGAGATAGATAGAT